TCAATTTTGAGCATCTGGAAACATTTAAGAAGATTAGGTACAGCTCCTCTGGATGCAAATCTTCAAACACTCGTAGAAAAAGTATTGTTCCTAAGACTTGCGCAAAGTGTCTTTCCCGCACTCAAAGCTTATCCGAACGCCGCGCCGCTTCGCGTCGCGTGGCGATTTCAAAACTGCTGCATTAATTTGTTGCTGTCGTTGATATCTTGATAAGCGGAAAATTTTAATGTCTTTTACATCTGCTTCTGGGGGAATAGCTAGTGAGTCGCTAATAAGAAAAAGGAATGGTGTCAAGAATAAGTAGTCATTAGCATCGTTAGAAATAGGTGTAGGGGTCGTGAATTCAACAAGACTTCAATTTGAATAAGCAATGTGTACATTTATTCAAATGTTAGAGATGCATTACCAAGAACCCGTTGGAGACGGAAATAAATATTCTTATAATTTTATATGTTTTTTAGTTTAAAAAGTTTTCTTAAATCACTCGCAGTGCTTTTTACCGCTGCTTCCCATGGACCTCCAACACGTGCTGGTATAAAATGCCACATTATCTGGGCCTTAGCCAAAAATAAATAAACACTATCATTACCTATGTGTTTTGTCGTTATCAAGATTATATGATTCTAAAAAGTGATTATTCGCTCCAACAAAATTCAAACCGTTGTCCAAATAAATATCACTCGGTTTACCTCGTCGGGAAATAAATTGTTTAAATGCGTTTAAAAAACTGTTTGTTGTTAAGTTTGTGGCCAGTTCTATATGTACTGCTCGCGTAGCAAAACATACAGGAATGCATATATACGTCTTAATTAACTTACTCCTACGAAGTGTACCTTCTTTTACATAAATAGGTCCAGCATAGTCAACGCCACAATTGGAAAACGGTCGGCTTGGGGTACCTTTGGAACGTGGTAAAGAATCAATTAAAAATTTGATAGATTTAGGATTTACACGAAAACAAACAAAACATGATTTTATCATTAATTTGTTTAATCGCGTTTCTGCCGTGAATTGGTCAATATTTTAATCGTATAATAGAAAGTAAGTTTTGCGTTCTCGCGTGCAAATATTTCAAATGCGAGCATCTAAAATTATCAAATTTGTTAATTTATGTTTATAAGGCAAGATTATCTGATGTCGTTGGTTTTAAAATCAATTTCAGAGTTTGTTAATCGACCTCCTACTATCATAAAATTGTCCGAATCTAAGAAGGGATGCAAATTTAAAATTTTACTGTTCGTGCTAACATTTTTTGATTTCGTGATATCTGCAATCTCATCTTTGAACGATTTCTGTTGTGCTAGACGAATTAGAATTAAAAGGGGCTGTGTCTAATTCTTTGAATGTTAATGTGTTCGAATCGAATGAAATCTTTTTCAAAGTCAAATTTTAAATCTAAGTATATATGCTACTACTCTCTGTAGTTAAGTTAAATTTGAATATTTTTTTAAAAATGTCAAATTCTTCGGTTTCAGATTTTTTTGTTAAATTCATAATTATTATCGTGAGATTTAAATTCTGGAATTGTGTCAAGATTTATTAAAATTTTGATCGTCCGAATCACCGTTATTTTCTGCGTTAGATTTTAATAATTCAGGTCCGTTAAAACATATATCACATTCTAATAATAATTCCTTGGAGTTTGATCCTTGTGATATTACGTCTGAAGGGTTGTCAATACTTTTTACATGTTTCCAATTTTCAATATTTGATAATTCTATAATTTTTGAAATTCGATTTGCTACGAATGTTTTTAGTTTACATGGTTCAATTTTGAGCCGATCGTCGAGTTCGTGAAGTACAGAATTTTGGAAATATCTATGTTGAGGGTATTCTTAACATTTTCTTCTTTAGATAGCGGGTAAAGCAGCCAAACAAGTTTATTTTTCTAAAATAATTCTTTATTACTAACCAAGCTTTCGATACTTTTTTGTATCTTCTACAGGGCTAAAATTATATAAGTTAAAATTATAAAATTACAAAATTGTGACTTACTTGTAAATAAATGAATTATTTAAAATAAAAACTGCATAGATAGGTATAAAATTTGTATAAGGACTATAAAGTTAGAATTGTAAAGTTTTTTGAAAAATTTTTTGTTGTTAAAACAAAGTCTTTTGTTATAGGTAAATTTTGTGCTATCTATGTTTAATTTTTAGTTTTTCATTTCTGGTTTTTTTAATAGTTAACAACAAAAAATTTTTCAAAAAAACTTTACAATTCTAACTTTATAGTCCTTATACAAATTTTATACCTATCTATGCAGTTTTTATTTTAAATAATTCATTTACAAGTAAGTCACAATTTTGTAATTTTAAAATTTTAACTTATATAATTTTAGCCCTGAAGAAGATACAAAAAAGTATCGAAAGCTTGGTTAGTAATAAAGAATTATTTTAGAAAAATAAACTTGTTTGGCTGCTTTACCCGCTATCTAAAGAAGAAAACGTAAAAAATTCAGCCGTTATCCCCAATCCTGGTATTCTTAACTTTATAAATTAATTCGTCCGCGTCGAAAACTACACTCTACATTTCTTTGTAACAGAATCTCTTAACACTGTAAAGTGTGGTAAAAAGAATAACTTATTTTCGTTTGAATTATTATTGTCGAGATTACATTTAAATGTCATGTGACCTAGGTTTCTATATTCGCTCATAAAATCTGTATATTGTTCTTTCAAATTTTCGTTTTTGTTGAACCGCCGTTCTTAATCTTCGAATCGTTTTAAAGTCATTGTCTTTGAATTTCCTAACTTTTGGGGAACACATTTTATTGGTATTTTCACCCCCTACCTGTCAACCCCTAAGTGGGGGTGACAGGTAACCCCATAATTTCAAATAAAAAGGGAGGTCTAGTGATACGTCATTTGATAGCTATTTTTATAAGGATAATATCCTCAAAGTTTCAAGTTGCTACTACTTAACCTGTCGAAGTGGCGGCTTGTCAAAGTTGTGTAATTTTTACCTCATATAATAACAAAACAGCAGATCTTTCAAGTGATTAAACATGAACCATTTTAAACTGAACTGTTGAATGACAAATATTTAAATTAAATGCCATTGTTATTTTATAACTATGGATAGGTACCCTTAAAAAATCTGATGTTTTGTTATCTAAATAATATATAAAACACAGTTGTGTTGGTGTGTGAGCACTTATAACTCGAGAACGGCTGGACTGATTTTTATGATTTTTGCCTTATTGGATTTGTCTTTGTCCATCCTAACATAATAAATCGGAAAAATCCAAAAAAAAAGATTATCTATTTTACTTATTTATGAAAAAAACTCACTAAGCCCACATCCGGCGCCATCTCTTATAACCGATACCAAGTTTACCGTCACACTTTCATTGCAAATCATGTGGATTTTATTGTCACACACTTTGCACAAAAACAATTTGAGGAAAGCACTTTATTTTTAATTGTTCTTCACAGTAAAAATGTCCAAAAATAAATAGAATGACAATGTTTTAATTGTGTATTTTATTTTGTTGTTGGTTCGTTCATTCCGAAAGAGCGCGAACTGGTCTCCCTGTCATTTCTTGACGCTTGACCATTGACGTTCTGTGGCTAAGTTCCATTTCTCCTCTTAGGCATCCCTTGACAGCCGTGTTCCGTGCCGACTGTTCGGAGTGCTCCGTCCGGCTGGTGTCGAGTGGCAGAGAGGTTATGAGTCCGCCATAACCATTTTGTATACGGCGCCATATATGATATGTACCTAGAACGAAGCTCGCCGTTGCGCGGTAATTTCATTGCAGATACAGTAGAACAGAATACTGCTAAGGAACTGGAGCTATTCCGAACAGAACTATTCCACTATTCCGATAAAATAAAGTGGTGCAGAAAGAGTAGATCAGATGGACTAGTGCAGATACAGTAGAACAGATGGAGTATTGTAGTGCATGCAGTGTAGATAAAATGAAACAGGGCTGGAGATTTTTTTTGTTTTCTTTGCATTTTTTGAACATTCCTGTGCCTGAGTTTATTTATTTGGTGGTACACTTTATAAGAATAATGCCCACAAGATGCCTAAAAAGGGATGATGTAAAATTTTAATTTTAGGTGACTTCTGATCCATAGAGTAAAAATTAATTCTATCAACCAAAGCCAAATTCACCATCGAAAAAAACTGAATTTAATTCAGTTAATAGATACGTTAACACAACATTTGATAGTTCAGAGGAGGTACGAAGTTCGCCGGGTCAGCTAGTTATGTGATAAAAACCACACAGTCCAGATACTCAAAAAAAAGCATTTTTCCTAATTTTGACAAGCCGCCATTTCGGCAGGGTGAATAGTAGCAACTTAAAACTTTGGGGATATAATCCTAATAAAAATAGCTACCAAATGACATATTACTCGACCCCTCTTTCCGTTTGAAATATTGGATGTACCTGTCACCCCCACTTAGGAGTTGACAGGTTGGGGGTGAAAATACAAATAAAATATGTGTCCCGAAAAACAAAAATTGACGTGTCTGGGCGATTTTTGATTAAATAACTAACACCTGCGAAACTCTGGGTGGGAAGTTTTTCGTGCTCCACCCTGTATATAAAGATTGGCCCTGCCTGCATGAAAAGCCGATACGGTAAATTTGATAAGATTTGTTCAACACATATATCCACATGTTTTCTTTAAAAAAGCTGTTTTATCCTGAAATTAGAAGACAAATATTTCTTGTCCCCTAGACCGTTTTATTTTGATGAGTGTATGCCAGGGTGCAAGTGAACACCTACAGCCCCTTTTCTTTTACTTCAAAATTTCAAAGGACGTAATATCCCTTCTCATTATAATACCTCAAATTGATATACATCGCTAGGTACTCAATTTTCCTAGAAAATTTGAATAGGTCGATTAGTTTTTGAATAATACAAAGTTAAACAAAGATTTTAATTTGCTAAGTATTGAAACTTAACAATTACATAAATCAGTAGATATAAATTGAGAATGCTTTATACCTAGGCTGTAGGATAGTTGCCACCTAAACAGTATCCAAAAATGTTTCTGGAACTCAGTATCATAACATTGCTTTTGGGCATATTATTAATTTTTGTGTATCTTAAAACCATAAAAGAGCACATCCGGTATTGGATTTTGATGGGTCGTTTGCCCACAATTGTTAATAGGCGATTCCTTCTTGGACATGCGGGTATATTTATTGGACTGACGCCAGGTAAGAAAACAAGACCATTTTGGGAAAACTTATTTTTATTTAACTTCAATTTAGAGCAAGCCTGGTCTTTGGCAAGAAGAGTGCTGAAAAAAGCAACTACACCAATACTCACCTGTTATGTAGGACCTTTTTTAGTGGCTGTGTGTGTCATGGGTCCTCAAGAACTGGAGGTAAGTTCTAAATTTCAGTAATTGGTTTATGAATTCTGGAGTACTTTGACTGATTTGGCTTGCTTACTTTGAAAGATTGTAGGAGGGTATTTATACGGTTCTCATTTTCTTACAGGCTGCTATAGGTTCAATGAAAAATTTGGAAAAATGCGAGGTCTATTTCTTTATGAAACGATGGCTAGAACAAGGATTGTTAACAAGTGCAGGTTTGTGTTCGCCGCAATTTTCAAAAAGAATTGACTACCTAGAGCAAACTTTTTTATAGGACCTAAATGGCAAAAAAGAAGAAAAATCTTGACCCCAGCTTTCCATTTTTCAATTCTGTTGGACTTTATCGACCTTTTCAATAAGGAGATGGATAATTTTGTGAATCGAATTGAGGCAAACCACTTGGATCAACCCGTTGATGTCACACCATTAATATCTGATTACACTTTACTTACAATTAGTGGTAAGTTGTAATGATTCGTAATTTTTGAAAGGCAATTTGTATTCTCGAAGTGATCTTCGGTTTAATAATTAGGAGAAGTGAGATATCCAGGGCCAGAGTGTAACTTGATCGATGTTTCGCTTGAAAATAAATATCTACTTATCAGGACTGGAATTTGTCTCAAGCTGTGTGGTTAATTATATTTAATTAAATAATTAAATTAATGTATATTATATTTTTTAGTTGTAACTGAGGAAGCAATTAAATAATTGCGAAAACTTTTACCAAAAAAGAGATTTTGAAAATATAAAAAATTAAAATTAGCCGTATCCCCACTATTTATTAGTTAATTGAATCTCTAATATTAGCAATTAGAATACCCATATTATTTATTGAAATTTCTAATAGTTTCTGTCATTATTTTAATTTGTGATTGACTCGCGTAAATTTTTGTTTGAAATAACGTAACATAGGCGATCATTGGGTTTATTATTTAATATTTTAATTGAATTAATCGACATTTTTCTCTGATTGTTTTGGATATCATTATTTAATAATTTTGAACAGATTACATTAATAATCTAATTTTAATCTGTTTATAAGATATTTTGTGTGTGTGTTGTTTTGTTCAATTTACCTCACGTAATTACACTATTATTGTAATTTACTATAGCAATTATCATGCCAGGCCAATAACATTTTTATTCGGAATTTGTGAACTTCAGCAGAGTGAGGAGTGAACTAACAATGGGTCTAGGTAATTTTGAAAAACTTAGGTAATGGTTCAATATCGAATGTACCTAATATCTCAATGGTAGGTATATTAGAGAGATATCGGTGAAAAAGATAGCGCGTACGAACGGTATTAACGTCAGGAGTTATTTTTTTTATCATACTTTTAAATTACAGTTATCGGAAAACAGTTTAATGTAAAATTTGCTTATTCGTATCCGTTATTTTATAATCTTAACCCAACTTGTACTTTGTTCTGATTTGTCAATTTTGATTCTGTTGTTTAGAGTCAAGGGTCACAGGATTTGAATTTTCAATGCCTTTCCATTATTTTTTGAACATAAGTTTAACATAATATAACCTATAATATTCAACCAGCCCGTTGTCAAAAACCTGCGCATGCCTATTTAAGCATTTTTTAGGCGTTATTCGAAATAGCGCTTAACGTAAATGTTGGGTAAATTACGTAATGCGGTAACGTTATTTCAGTACGTAGTGTTAAAAATCGAATCGCGCATACGTTTAATGTCAAAATAACGCGGGCGCTAATACCGCATGATGCTATTTGGATAACCGATATCTCTCTATTATTGAAGTTTGAATTTCCTGGCGTCAGCGTTGTATAATGAAATTGATTATTATGAAAATTACATACCTAGATCGGTCACCTCCGATAGTAGATTGTTTTTAAATTCTAGTACTTTACAAAATAAAATCCGCGGACTTAAACCAGAAAGTCCCCAGAAAGGGGGTATATTTAGACCTGAAATTGCATTACAAAGACCAATAGAAGGCAATATAATATATAAAATACCACAGTAATTATTATTAAATGTAATTGGTAAAATTACCAAAAGGTAGCAAAGACCAACTTGTAATGGTTTTATAAGTTACTCCAATAAATTCAAGATTTGCCAATATAACGTTTGACCACCTTACTCCAATGAATGGCAAAGAGAAACAATTAAGGAATAAAAGATTAATAATATTAATTAAAACCTGTACACGCTTATACCATGGTATACCGGGGCGGGTTTGTACAAAAACGTCACCTTTAATATAGTCAATCAAAAATAATTGGTGCAGTTCACCCATTGTAATAATTAAGGCAGTAAAACAATATGGAATTGTATCAAGTTAAATATAAGAAATACTATTAATAATAATTAAAAAAAAAAAATTATTAAGAAACGTTAATGAATGACAGGTACATCACCCCCTTGTAGTCCTGTCTGCATTCTAAAACATCCATATACATTACTGCCTCCTGACAGCCTCGCAGCCCTGATAACAGACCCCATCAACTTCTATTGACTTCCCTTCTTAAAAATGGTATGTTTCGGTTTCAAGTTCAGTATTTTGAGACTTTGAGACTAGCAAACCGTCAAAAGGAAGAACCCAATAGTAAGATAGAATGTAAAACTTAAAACCCTGGTTACAAATTGGGCTCGCATCGACAACTCAACAAAATGGAGTAGACCTTTGTCGCCAGAAAATTCCGAGTGGTTGGCTTACAAATACGGGGACTTACGACCAAAACCAAGTTCCACCCCAAAACCAATAATTAAGCCAGCAACCACTTGAGTTTCCAACGCCTCCAAAATCCCACAAATGATGGATGTTCCAAGGAACTTAGCAAAGAGGACCGCTGGTAAAATCTGCCACTTGTTGTTTGCTCAACGTGCGAATTTAAAAGAGCGACCTTATTTTCCGCAATTTATTAGGTGAGCTCAATATGAAAAATTTTCTAGAATTCCATTTTTTTCCAAGATGCCCTCTGATGCCAGATTTCCGGTCTTGATCAGGAAAACGGAACAATCAGCTTGAAACGGAACAACCCAAATCACATTGATGACCGACAAAACTCAAAGTTTTTATCAAATTTTCTCCCCTAACACCAATTAACACTAATTAATTACTCATTAATCAACATCTAACCAGTCTTTAGTACGAAAACTATCAAAATGGCCAGTCGTTTCAGTGGTCTGCCTGAAACGAAACAACAAGTGTCACTTAACCACACTTATTCGGCGGAAATAAATAACCGGGAAAATCTATATGAAATCGGAATAAGGGTGAAAGAGCGATTTAAAGGCTGTGAAAGTGATGTGTGATGTTGCAGAATTTTTAATAATGGAAAATACGTGACTCGTAAGTGTTGCCAATTGATATTTATTTGGAAGTAAACAAACCTTTTCATCGACATTTAGGGCTTTTTAGACAACTTTCGTAAGCTAAATAAAATAGATTTCCATCCTAACAGTAGGGCTTTATTATCCTAAAACTACCCTGTCATCTAAATACAAAGAATTTACTCATTATCACCTCGAAAAATATACCCTTGTTCAACAACTAGATATTGTTTCGAATCCAAACAAAAAGGTAGAAATCTAGTAAAATCCAATGAGAAACCTATCAATCACTGAAAAATATTAATCCTCAGGTATAAAGCTTTCTAAATACCCTAACAAATACCTGAATTAATTACCGAATTCATTCGAAATCTCAGTTACGTATGTACTTAAGGCAAAATTTGAACATAACAAGCAGTGGCGACGCGCGACAAGCAGTCTGGGTGGGGGGGTAAATGGTACGTGGGGTTTAGGGGGAGTCCCCCGCAAACTCGAGTTTTTTTTTGCAAATTTCAAGGTCATTCACTTTTGCAAAACAATTATTCCATCAGAAAATAAAACATTAAAAAAAAATATATTTTCTTCATTATATTTGTCTTTTTTCTTCTGGGCATCGTGATTTTTCTGTCGAAAATTCGATCCTGGGGAGGTAATTACCCCCATTACCCCCCCCCCCCCCTGTCGCGACTCTCCTGGTAACAAGAAGGAGCTTCTTTCTCTTTCTATGATGCAATCTCTCAAGAAAGGGGAGTCAGCAATTATCAATTTCGAACTATTTTTATTCACTAATAATTGTAATCACTTTGCATAGCACCACAATAAATATCGAGTCCCTTCAGAATAATTCTTCTGGCTGTTGGTGTGGATTCAAATTATCCTGACTGGTAAAGCCATTTAGGGCCACTTTTTCAAATTTCGTTCTTAAAGACTAACTAACAGGGGATCTGCTGGCGTACGTCAGACATATTTGGAACTCGACGCTCGAAAAACGTGGCGAATCCAGAATTGTAGCATTGGACATCTCCAAAGCTTTTGATCAGGTGTAACGCAAAGGTCTCCTCAGCAAACTACCATCGTGTAGTGTCTAATGGATGAATTTTGCCATTGGCTGTGGAGCTTTTTGTAAGGCAGGTCACTGCATATTGTGGTCGATGGTGTCTGATACACTGCCCATGAATGCCGTCGTTCCCCAAGGCTCAATTCAGTCCTCAACACTGTCTCTCAATTTTATAAATGATTTGTTAAATGTGACAAGAAGCCCCATATTATACAGCTTTACGGACGACAGTATAGTTACTGATGAACATAATTAAAGCTAAAATTGCAATACCATCTTCTTCCAGAAACATCCATGGGTACAAAGCTCGACCTACAAACCCAAGAAGGTAGAAATTACAAACAAGCAGTCGACGATATTGGTAATGTGGTATATGAAAGAATTGTTGCACCATGGTTGTGGTATCCTAGAATTTTCGACTTGTCATCGTTTCGTAAAGTGGAATATAGATCCTTGAAAATTTTACACAGTTTCACGGACAATATTATAAAGAAAAGAAGTGAAAATTTCAAAACTTTTGATGAAGACTTCGAAAATAGTTATACCAAAAGAAAATATCCTTTGTTAGATATATTATTGAATACTAAATTTAAACATAAATCTATTGATGATAGGGGAATTAGAGAAGAAGTGGATACGTTTATGTTTGAGGTAAAATTAATTTCATCCTAATAAATAATAATTTCATATTTGAATTAATGTTTTAGGGGCATGATACCACTGCCGCAAGTTTAAATTTTACCACAATGCTTCTAGCTAACCACTCGGAAATACAGGTAATAAGTTAAGGTTAATAATTTCAATTTTATAGCCATATTTTCAGGAGCAAGTGTATCAAGAAATTATTAATACATTGGGAACTGATTTATCAACAAAACCAACTTATGCTGATTTACAACAAATGTCGCTTTTGGAAAGGTAGAAGAAATATTATTTTGACTGAAGTTTAAGAAAAAATAATTTTAGATGTATCAAAGAAAGTCTCCGGCTTTATCCACCAGTTCATATTGTGGGAAGAACCAGCAGTGAAGAAATTACTACCAAATATGGTATAATACCTAAAAGAGCTTTATTAGTAACTTTCATATACGACCTTCATAGAAATCCCAAATATTGGCCCGATCCTGAAAAATTTAATCCATCCAGACATTTGCCAGAAAACTCAATTGGCAGACATCCATTCGTTTATATACCATTCAGTGCTGGTCCCAGGAATTGTATAGGTAGGTAGCTGTCAAGAAATAGGAGTTTTATTAGGAGTAATTTAATATGAAAATTGATGCGAAGTTATTATTTTGCGTTATTAGGATGGAAGATCCAAGGCTTGGAAAAATATGTCTGGGATTCTATTCTCCCTGTATCAAGGTTGTTTTATATTAATAATGATGGCTCATATTATGATCCTAGTGAGATAATTTTTTAGGTACTTTGCTGTTGTTTTTCACTAGGATAATTAATTGTTGGAACTTTGTGTTTTTTTGTCTAGCCGAGGTGTCGTTTTTAAAGAACTTCTATTTTTAGGACAACGTTTTGCGATGTTAGAGATGAAAGCGTTTTTCTGTGGAGTACTAAGAAAATTCAAATTGGAACCAGTCGATACACCCGAAACAATAGTATTAATTCAGCATATTATTTTGAAAGCCAAGGATGGTGTTAAGGTGAAATTTGTTCTAAGAAATCTAAACAATAATTAATTGAATTATCATGTCGGTCTGATATGAATTGAAATGTAATTACCAATAAAAATGATTTATTTTTTTTATATCATACCAGTACATTATTGTGTTTTTATACCTTAGATACCATCTATATAATTCATTACTTTATGCCCGTGCGGGCATAAAGTACACATTATGGCCCGCGCGGGCATAAAGTACACATTATGGCCCGCGCAGGCATGACATAAAAGTTTGTATGCACCACGGGTACTAATAGATATATACCCTCGGGCAACTTACGAACCCTCGGGCCAGAGGCCCTCGGCTTTGTAAGACTGTCGCTCTCGGGGCATAATCATCTACTTAGTACCCTTGATACATAAATAACTATTAGATGTTTTTATTTTTATTATTTCTGTTGAATCTCATAACCTACTATACTGGTATGATTGTCGTCGTAGTGCTACAACAACTTTAATAGTTGTTTTCATTTAGAGTAGAGTTTATTCTTATTCTCACATTCTCGCCCTTAAACTCTTAAACAAATAGGGTCGCGAGATCGAGTTCATGAAATTTTATAAATTTATTTTGTCTATTAGTTCTTAGTTACTACTTTAGATATGGATTGAAACAAAATATTTAAAATATCGGATTTCTTCCTTTATTTCGCTAATTTTTATCGGATTCCTTTTTTCTATTTTCGCACGATGTGCGTTATAATACTTGGATGCGCACAAAATCTGAACATCTTTAGATGCCTAACCTCAAAAATATTTACATATCGAGTATCTAGATCAGAGATTTATTCTTTTCAAATTGTGATCATCCAATTACGTACCTGATTTATTCTTAATATTTGCCATAGTCGTTCGATTTCAATCTGGAGATCTTTGTATTTTAGTGTTTTTTCAGTCTCTTTCTGAGTAATTTTCTAATCTGATGATATTGATAGTTGATCCATCCACAAGTAAAGATGTTCTCAGTTTCTTGTTTTTGATTATGTCCGGCTCATTTGCTACCTATTATTTTTCGACCAGTTTCAGTGCGAGTAGGTTTCCCATATGATGGTAACATCGGAGGTGTCGACAGGGTTCGGGATATGTTTGTCCCATTTGTCATTACCTTTTATTCCATATTCTCTGCACATGTTCCAGCGCAGGTGTGCTGCAACTGTATTGTGGCGTTCCGGGTAAAGTTTTTTGGTAAGTATGGGGCAATAACTGGATATCAGGCAGGGCCCGTATTCTCGTAACCGGAGAATAGCGTTCTCAAGAGAGAAAAATTGCTCTGGGTATCAAGTTTTGATTGAACTATTTAAGACAGGACCGGACTTTTTCCAAAAATCTGCATTTAACGTCGTTTCGCTCAAATGAGCTGATAGGTTTTCTCGGTAGTTAAACTACTGGAAATACACATGCTGAAATAGAAATGAAATAAATGCAACAACGCAAATTCTTTGATTTTTAAAAAATAATATGAAAGAGAGGTTTAGAGGCAATTAAGCAGCAATAACATTACAAGGAAAGAATACTACCAAAATTATTGCGTCTTGTCAGAACTCTGCCCAACATTCCTCAATTCGATCTTTTAGTTGATGAATTGTTTCAAAGATGTGGGTGAAATATGGCCTGTTTTCCTGACTGTCTCCATGTGTATGTGTGTATGAATATGTGTGTGATGGAGGTGTTGCATCGCGATCAAGGTTGATCTATTGTACCCCTCCTTGTTGCTAAGTTCGGGTTTCCTGCTCAAAGCAGCCTCTCCAGTCTTAGGTCCTTAAGGAATTTTAGGATATCTAGGGCGGGAATATCTTCCAACTGTGTAAGGGCACTCCTCAGGTTCTTCATCCTTGAGCGATTAACGGCATCACAGTTCAGTAGAAGATGGTGAGGTGTTTCCTCTCCGTCTTCACAGAATCTGCAGGTGCCACCTTCTGCTAACCCCAACTTCTGTAGGTGTTTCTTAAGTCTGCAATGTCCCGAGAGAAACCCGGTTAGAGTCTCGAGACTTTTTTTGCTAAGGTTGACCAGCAGTTCTGATCTTTTTTGGTTGGAGTTGCCCAATAGATATTTGGCCTGTCGTAGTCCTGGCTGTTTTAGCCATTGTTTGTTCCTTAGCCGATTCTCTTCTTTTTTGAGGATTTCTTTGAGGTGCACATTTCCGATGCCGCAAAACGGTTCTGGCCCAGTGAAGGGAGTAGACGCTCCCATTTTTGCGAGTCTGCGCATTGGTTGCCCTCGATACCTATGTGTCCGGGCACCCAGAGGAAGGTTACTTCATTTTGTTTTCCCAGCTCATTTAGTTTCTGTAGACATTCTCATACTGCCTTAGAATTGATGACCGGGGATCTCAATGCTTTGATAGCTGCGTGGCTGTCAGACATTATTACAATCTCTCGTTTCCGATAACTTCTGCTCAGGTTGAACTGCACGCATCTTCCGATCATATGAAGTTCTGCTTGGTGGTACTTTTTCCATTGGCTCCGAGTATCTGGCCAGTGGCCCGAATACTCCGGCTACAGTTCCCTCGGCAGTTTTGGAATCGTCTGTGTACCATTTGATGGCGTTTGCTTTAAGGGATTGGATAGATTCCATGTTCCATCTGTTTTTTGTACTTAGTTCGATGGAAAAGTTTTTCTCGAAACTGAATTGATCAACAATCACGTCTTTTGGTAGATCCATGAGGTGTGCACAGTTCGGGAGAGGAAAAGTTCTGCCAAGTTGCGTTTCCCTTTGTAAACCTATCTTCTCCAATCTTAAGACATGATCCACTGGCAACCCGCTTCACTATTATATGGAGTGGTGTGAGGTCTAGAATGACTTCTAGTGCCGTGGTTGGGCGTGATCTCATTGCTCCTGTTATACAGATTGACTGTCTCCATACATAATAGACATATTGTTTGCAGGCGGAAACATTGTGTCGAATCAAGTGATAAATCTGCATATACCTATAATTTGCTAATAGAATTTATATGTCTTTCCACGCCATTCTAACGTAGCTCAAGTAATAATGAGCTAGAATTCTCAAAGGACCCCGCACACTTCTTATGGGATTTTGGGATTCGGTCAATCTTTCTGAAAATTTGATATGATGCTCCTCTCAACATTCTGATTCAAAGTGTTCATAGCCACAACTTGATCCTCTGACTAGTTTTCAAGATACAGCTGGTTTAATGTCCAAGAAATTCACACATTTTATATGCATTCACATACCTGTCACCTAATAACATACCAGGATTGACAGGTATCCCCACGCTCATACCACAACATCTCATACTTCTGAAAGATAGTAAAATTTTTCGTCTAACTAAACAACTTATTCCTGCTATATTTTATTGTACTTCACGCAGTAAACTACCACCTCATTCATCTCCCTCAGTGATCATATTCGAAATGAAAGACTGTAGTGAAGCTGTAAATTTGTATGAAGTTAATCCACCTGGGCATTCGCATCCTAAAATGTAGTTACATATTACCAAGGTTATTTCAATTAGGAATCGTGAAGTTATGTGCAAATTTTTCCTTGAAATATTCAATGAAATGTTGTAATCTGCTTCAACAAGGTCCATAAATGCCAAATACAGAATTTATCTGCGTTCTTTCAATTTTTCTTGAATTTGCCTCGAAGGGATGAACATGTTCGTGATCTTTTTTGAAGACGTCATCATCTACGTGGAACTCTCTGCTCCTATCTGTAGAGGTTACTACTACTACTACTGCTGCTACTACTACTACTACTACTACTACTACTACTACTACTACTACTACTACTACTACTACTACTACTACTACTACTATATCTAAGTCCTATTCCTAGATCTTAGGGGATTTGGATCTTTTGTAGATTGGCCATGGGTTGCTTTTCTGACGTTGAAGGAGGCTCGGTTGATATTGGAAACTGACATGTGTTCCAATTCGAGTGACTTTGTTTATCACCATCCACGATTCATTTTTGATTTTTTTCTTCTTTGTTCTTCAGGCTATGCTTGAAGTTTGTTTTTTTTTGTTAGCTGAATTTTGGTCGTTTTGTCAGATATTATGGGTTTAATTATCTTCTTCTAATGTATGACGTTCGAAGTTCTGGCTGTTATCATTAAACCAATCATGATGTTTCCTTGTGCTGTTTAAGCATATGGACCATTCTTTTCAATATCATCGAGATATTCAGCAGAATTCGTAATTTAATAGAACCTGGAACCAGTGGCGTAACTTCAAATCCGGGGCCCCCCCGCAAGGATTTTCCCGGGGCCCATCTTTTATGATTTTTTTTTCTTTCTAATTTTGCTTTATACAGGGTGTCCGTTTTAAGTGATACCACATACGACTATTGCTATTTCCAAGCCGGTAAGAGGGACGAAGTAGGTTAAATTAGATAAAAGTGGTAGATTTTAGTATCCATTGAAGGTAAGTACACAGGGTTGCCAAGATTTTATTTGTTTCCGAGATATAAGGGAAAATGTAAAAAAAATTAAACTTATTTAATGAATATTTTGTTATCTTCACACCTGTTCCACCTCCAGCATTCCCAGTGCTTTTTAGCCACCTTGTTGTTGTCTCCCTCCGCTTCGCGACGGGAGGCAGACCACATCTCGCTCTAAAATCTAATACTTGTTTCCCTTGTATAATGAATAACTATTATTGATGGAATGTTCCATCTTTTGGTGTTAAAGTTGCTCAATATATTGGAATATAGAATATCATCCATAACTCTTTGGAATGTAGCCGGCGCGTTCTTCAAACCAAAGGGCATGCGTAAGAACTTATAATGCCCGTTTTCTGGGCTGAATGCGGTTTTTTCGATGTCGTTGTCTAGATTTGGTGGAAGCCGCTAGCTAAATCTAAGGCAGTGAAATACTGCCAACGTCCCAGCTTCTTCAAGATATTCGTTATGTTGAGTGATGGGTATCTGTTAAACTGTTTGTCAAAGTGGTTATAGCAAAAACAACAAAAACATAAAACACACAAGTTTGATATAAAAAAAAATAGTCAGGCATGTTAGGATCAGGAACTCAATATTTTTGTCCCTACTCACTACACCCACTACATACAATGCCAAAATCACTATAGCAAATTCACAACGAGGATGAGATTCAAAGGTTAGGTTTAAGTATTTTCTTTTAGTTTAGTAATATTCTTGTCGCCAGTTTAGTACTTTCTTGTCGCCTGGTCTGGGGCCCTGCGGGGCCCCTAAGTCACGAGGCACCCGGCAACTGCGGGCCCTTAGTTACGCCACTGCCAGGAACTGGAAGTAGCTTTTTTTCCTTGTTCCGGGTGCAAGTAAATGATTGATTGAGCCCCTCACAGTTACTTTCAAATTTACAATAACCTCTATCCCTACTCGTTGTATCTCAAACAAATTTTTAATACTATTCTCCCTCCAAGGAAATTTCAAATCGATTGATTAGTTTCTAAATTGAACAGGTTTAAAAAAAAATATAGTTATTATCCTAACAAGTGCAGAAAGTTATACCCTCCCGCACGTGACTGCCGTTGACCCCAACGACGCAGATGCATAAGTTAGGATCAACATTTTATACGACCTTAGCAAAGTAGGGCACAAAGAAAATACGAGTTTTTTTATGAAACATATATTGTACATACATATTTGAATAATCCACATTTATTTATTATTATAGATAGGTACTGATTATGAAAGTACAATTGTATGCATTTTGTGAATTAATCGCCAACAATAATTATTGCTGATTTTTCAAAACAAACTAATAATATTATTACTTCTGGGATGAGTGTTCGACGCCATTACCAAGTCGGTTGCAGGTGAAGTCACTGGAGACGAGGGTTCTGACCTCAGAAATCTGGTACCATTTGCAAATGACTGCTTGAAGATGGAGATTTTGTGCCAATTGACAAATTTTTGTTACACCAATAAATTTTTCTTCCAAAAGTTACCTCGGGAAAGTGATACTTTCTGAACTAAAATGAGTGCGGGAAATTGGGCAAAATAGCACGGTTGTAGAAAAAATTATAATTTTCCATTTTCTAAATACTTATTTGATTCAAATTTATTTTTTTTTTTTTCATATTGGGTGAAAATATATAGTTTAATGTAATACAGTAACGATAAAAGAACTACACCACTGTTTTTTTATTTATTTATTTTTTTCAAATCACATTAATAATAAGCACTATCAGAAATTTTATTAATAATGAGACAAAAATAAATTAAAAGTAAAATCATGTATAGGTAGGTGGTAGAACAGTTGCCGCCATCAGTGCCAAAGAAATGTTTCTTGTAGTCAGTGTTTTAGTACTGCTTTTGGTTATATTGATTCTTTATGTGAATCGTGATGCCATAAAACAGTATATTCGATATTGGAATTTGATTGGTCGATTGCCTACAATTGCTAATAAGCGATTCCTCATCGGACATGCGGGTATATTTATTGGACTGTCACCAGGTGAGAAAGAAAAACCATTTTATGGAAATGTGTTTTTAATTATTTTTAATTTAGAGCAAGGATGGCATCTGGCAAGAAAGGTGTTACAAGAAGCATCTGAATCGATTGTTACCTGTTATATGGGACCTTTTATAGCGGCTGTATGTGTCATGGGACCTGAAGAAATTGAGGTGAAATTCAAATTGCACTAATAGCTTATTGCGTGCCCTAGAAGGTTTAAGGGCATTTTGGAAATCTTTACTTCTTTTGTAGGCTGTTATCGGTTCAGTGAAAAATTTGGAAAAATGCGAAGTGTATTTGTTTATGAATCGCTGGTTAGAAGAAGGATTGTTAACGAGCGCAGGTTTGAGTCTTACCACACTTTTCAAGAAGATTTAACTAGGTACTCTATTTTCCAGGATCTAAATGGCAAAAAAGAAGAAAAATTTTAACACCAGCTTTTCATTTCTCAATTCTTTTGGACTTTATTGACCTTTTCAACAAGGGAGTACATAATTTTGTGAAAAATGTTCAGAGAAATTCCTTGAACCAGTCCGTTGATGTCACACCTCTAATATCTGATTACACTTTACTAACCATTAGTGGTAAGTAGTTGTAATTTCTGCAGATTTAGATTGTTATTAAATTGAAAAAATCATTCTATGCGTGATCTCAAATTCAACTGTTCAAGTCATTGCTTCAAATATACTCGATTAGTAAGAATATTAATTATTACACTTCTAATTGATAATAACAATATTAATGACAGTGCTTACTATCACAGGATAACGTCGTTATTTATTTGAATATCAAATATTTAATTACCTATAGATTACAAATATTATTTCCAAAATAATTACCTACTTTCCTTTAGCACCTATATGTACCAACCTACTATAAATAGTAATAACACAATACACATTTTTGATTGGTAGTTCGTGTCATTAAAGTGAACTCTTTAATTAGGAGGAATGAAACATCAGGTTATCATACTGATTGGATGCTCCGTTTTAAAATAAATACCTACCTACTTTATCAAGACTGACCAAAACATGTTATTGAATTCGCCATGATAAAGATTTTTATTTATTTTGGCTTGAGGATAAGGGTTGGTTAAAGTTGAAAGAAACCAATTATCTGCGTTTTGCAATTATTTAATCCATACTTAGGGCTTTGCGAGAAAAGAAAAGAGAACATGTCCGTTTTTCCATTTTCCATTTTCAGCCGTTTTCTATCCTTAGGATATAGGCCTCTTTCAAATTTGACCATTGTCTTCGGTTTTGCGCAACTCGGTACCAATTTAATCCTGCAACCTTCTTTATCTCGTCGTACCATCTTTGTTGGGGTCTTCCAACACTTCTCCTCTCTTCCCAAGGTCTCCATCTAATGATATACCCGCTCCAGTTTTCTGTATGTCTGGCCACGTGTCCTGCCCATTGCCATTTTAGGGAACCAATTCTTTTTATTATGTCGGAGACTTTGGTTCTTTCCCTTATCCATGTATTTGTTTTGTGGTCTCTCAGGGAAATTCTTGAAATTCGTCTTTCAATGGCTCTCTGATGTACTTCCAATTTGTGTTTAATTTTTCTGGTTATCACCCAGGTCTCGCAACCATGCGTAACAATAGGCAGTATACACTCGTTATAGACTTTTGATTTCAAAGTCATTGGAATATTCATGCTGAAGATGTACTTTAATTTGCCGTAAACCGCCCATCTCAGTCTAATTCTCCTATCAATTTCTTGATTTTGTTTGCCCGGTGTTATAGCTTGGCCAAGGTATATGTATGTTTCTGTCTTTTTTATTGTGCTGTCATGGATCGATATTGTTTTTGTTTTCCCATTGTAGCTTATTAAAAATATCCTCGAGCACTAAAGGGAATCGTTTTGGAGATATTACGTCCCCTTGCCGAACTTTTCTTTTGGCGTTTATTCTGTCATATGATTCATGAAGTCTAATCGACATTGTCGAAGTCCTATAGATATTTTCAATGAGGTTTTTATAACGTTGATCCACTCTGGCATTTCTCAAGGATTTTATTATTGCCCAGATTTCTACTGTGTCGAAGGCTTTTCGGAAATCGACAAAAGTAATCCATAGGTTTATATTATATTCTGTAGCTTTCTCGATCATCTGCCTTACTGTGTGTAGATGTTCTGTCATGCTATAATGGCTTCGGAATCCAGCCTGTTCCTTTGGTTGGTAAACTTCGAGTTTTCGCTCTAATATGTTGGTGATTATTCTGGTGAATAATTTATATATTTGTGATAGTTAGCTTATCGGCCGGTAGTTTTCGAGATCAGTCGGGTCACCTTTCTTGTAGATCAGAACAACTACAGCATTCTCCCATTCTTTGTGTATATGTTCTTCTGTTAGGCACTTATTGAATAGTTTCACTAGTTCTTTGTCTCGTCTTAGCATCCTTGAGCATTTCAGGCAGAATGTTGTCTTCTCCTGCCGCTTTACCATTTTTCATCTGGGATAACTAGGGATGTGAGTCAATTTTTCTGACAATGTCCTGTCACAGTCAAAATGAAAATGACAGTCACGTCATTTATTTTTATGACACTCTTGTCATTTATTTTTTTATTGATTTACAGGTCAATTCTGTGCACATTTGTAAACAAATCTATAACTTTCTATAAGCTTATAGACACTGCAAAATGCATCGATTACCAAATCGGAAATATTTACGATTTTATAAGATTTTCTGTAAGCTAGAGGGAAGTGTAGAACTGCATATTGTCTATAGAGAGCTAAAGGCATATAGAAAGTTATAGATTTGCTCACAGATGTGTACAGAATTGACCCGTACATTTTCTGACCGTCAAAATAATAACTGACTGTCATTAAAATATATGACCATTATTGAAATATATGAGACTGTGACAAAAATATCAGATGTCTTTCGATTTTTACTATCAATCTAATAAAGGAGATGGAAGCTGTACTTTCTAACTCAGTAAATGACTTTGATGTTGATGACTGTGAAACCGAAGGGAAGAACTTAAGTCAACCAATCAGATATCTGATTATTGATTTAACTTATGTTATGTTCTATATTGGAGCTAAATGACCATAAATGACAATAAATGACAAAAATGACCAAAAAACACCTATCACAAAAAATAAATGACCGTCATTTTGCATCCCTAGGGATAACCCTTTCTCCAGTTCTTCCATATTTATGTCAGGTATTTCTTCTGAGTTTGCATTTACTATTCGTATTTTGTCTTCTCTTGTCCTTGTGTTTGCTATTTTAGATTCGTACAGATCTCTATAGAAAGATTCCACAACTTTTAGTATCTGTTGTCTGTCTTCTACTATGTTGTTTTTTGCATCTTTTATTTTTGTTATTTATTTTTTAGGTGTGTTAAGTTTTTTAAATATATTTAGTCCTTTGTTCTGTTCTAATATGGATTGCACTTGTTTCGTTTGATGTTTTAGTATATCCTGTTTCGCCATTTTTCTTGCTGTTTTGTTGGTTTCTGTGTATCCAATAGTGTCTGTTTTACCCTCGGTTATCAGTTTTCTCCTTTTCTCTAGTAGCTGTTTCATTTCTATCGACAGTTTGTCCGGCGTTTTCCCTAGGAGGCCTATTATCTGTTCTGCTGTTTCTGTTATAATTTTTGTTATTCTCCTATTGTTATCATCTAATGACTCCTGGATTGTTGGAAAAGTTTTCTTTCAGCCTTTGTTTGTATGTTTTCCTCTACTTCCTCTCTTCGTTGTTTTTTCCATTTTTCTTTTTCTTTCCATTTTTGTGTTTATGGGCAGTTTGCATCTTACCATCCTGTGATCACTGGCGGTGTTGAATTGATTAACTACATCTACGTCTTGGATTATGTATTTATGGCGGGAGATTATAAAGTCAATCTCATTTTTGGTTTGTCCATCTGGGCTATTCCATGTCCATTTACGTTTCTCTTTCTTTTGGAAGAAAGTGTTCATCAGATAGAGTCTTTCTCTTTCTAGGAAGTTTGCTAACATTCTTTCCCTTTAATTTCTGATGCCGAGTCCGAACTGTCCTATGTGTGTTTCCGTTGGTTCTGCTCCTCTGCCTATTTTTGCATTAAAGTCTCCTCCTAGAATAGTGTGCGTCGTTCGGTTCTCTCTTATTATTTATTAATATTCCAACTCCTCCATTATTATCATTATCCTTTCCCCTGTAGAGCATAGTATTCTCGGAATCCAGATGGAGGTATTGTTCTCCTTTTCTCCTTGTTTCGGCTAGTCCTACAATGTCCCAGTTTATTTTCTCCAATTCATACTCTAATTCAACCAGACGTTCCCTAGTTCCGATTAATCTTGTGTTGTAAGTTGCAATGTTTAATAAGCAATTTGTTGTAGTTTTGCAAGGTCCATTTTTATTTTGTTTTTTCTTTATGGATGTCGAACTTGTGCCTCTCCCAGAATCCATAAGGCTGACCGAGGTATCGGTGTGGGATTGTGAAGTACCTCTACTCACCTGGGGTACTTTTTTTCGTTTTGAAGTCGACATATTTGTTGGTGAAAGGTTTTGGAAATTAAAACACCACGCTCGCCGGGCGTCTTGGTGAGTTTTTGTATCAGCGGCTCCTAACCTGGAGTTTTTTTTTGCAGCCGCCCACTCTGGGTCGGACGCTGCGTGGGAATCTTCTTCGTTTCACCTTCATCTCTTCGAGAGTATATGGGCATGGGTGGCCCTGCCGGTAGCTAGGCTACCGCCGACATCGCTCCCTGGATAAAGGTTACTCAGCCCTCTCACCACGTCAAGGTCAAGATTCCCCTAGAGAGGGGAAACCAGTTATCTGCGTTTTGCAATTATTTAATCCATACTTAGGGCTTTGCGAGAAAAGAAAAGAGAACATGTATAACAGGCAAACTACAAGGCGAGTGAAAAGTAGATTCATGAAAAGATCTTGGTTTGGGTATTGCCACCACATGACACTATTATCTATATAATTTTTCTGGGACAAAATTTCGCAATAAAAACCTACTGGATTATTTTCGAAGTGATGCACGTGATGATACCTAGTAGACTAGGTATACGATGTGAAAATCAGTTGAAAGTCGAGGAGTAGTCGCAGATGAATTTTGGTGTAGACGTTCAGGAATTATTGATGAACTAGAGGAATTAGAATGAAGTCGAAAAAACTAACAGAAGTTACAGGAATTACTGCGAAATGTACAGGATGACTCAGAGTAAATTTCCCTTTTCAAACGCGTCCTGTACATCCAACTTAATATTTGTTGAGGGGTTAGCGCTGGCAATTTGCGGCGACTGCGTGCGGATTATCAGTAAACATGGAGCAGTGGTCGAACAAGCAACGCGCGTTTATGGTCGAAGCGTTTTTTAAATCAAACGATTCCTATGTCGCGGCACGGCGACGTTTTTGTAACCGTTACAGTATTCGGCGTATACGTGATACTCCGTCAAAAAATTTATTGAAATTATGGGTTCAAACAAGAGTTCAAAGATTCAGACAAAGTCTTGGACAAAGTGGTCCAATGACAAATCCGAAGCGCCCCGGTCAACACAACAAAAATTCATCAGAACGCCAGAGAACATTGGGATTGTGCGACGTGCTGCGACTGAAAATCCGAGGCGCTCATTTCGAAAACATGGCGGGATGCTTCTGATTTGCGAATTGTCACTGTACCACTTTGAATCTTTGAACCCACGATTTCAATACATCTTTTGACGTAGCGTCACGTATACGGCGGATATGGTTACGGTTACAAAAACGTGGCCGTGCCGCCACATAAGAATCATTCGATTTAGAAAACGCTTCGACCATAAATGCGCGTTGCTCGTTCGACCACTGCTCCATGTTTACTGATAATTCGCACGCAGTCGCCGCATATTGCCAGCGCTAACCTCTCCACAAATATTAGGTTGGATATACAGGGCGCGTTCGAAAAGGGAAATTTACTCTGAGTCACCCTGTATAAGAACTAAGTTTCGGAATTATGAAAATATTTTGGGAATATGGGTATTAGCAAAAAATTAGCTTCTAGATAATTTTAAATTATACTATACGATTGATTCCGTCCTCAAGACAATAATATAGAAAAATCTAGTTGTCATACAACCAGTCCAAAACCAGTCTGTAACTAGCGACACTTTGTACTGAAATTAGATTTCTCTTCGAAATACTAGTGGACATTATAAAAATTACTACTTGTAGATTTTGCATTCTCGGACAGCTACTACACCATTTCAACCTCAATTTCGGAAAAAGTAACTTTTATTTAGGAAAATGTAAAGTCATTTTCGGAAAAAGTCAAATCAATTTCAGAAAAGGTAAAGTTAATTTTGGAAAAAGTAAATTCAAATTCGGAAAAAGTAAATTCAAATTCGGAAAAAGTCAATTCAAATTCGGAAAAACTACATTCGATTACGGACAAAGTAATGTTATATTTCGAATAATAATTCGAATTGATAAAAAGTAAATTTAGCAGTGACTATAAACTCCAGTCGAACACGTACCGTGACGGGTTCAATTCCAATCAGTGTACTTTAATTAGGTTCTACATATATTGGTTCTTTATTATTTTGTAGGTCTGATGATGCTCATATGAGCGAAACACATATGTCACTATTAAGTGAATAAAATAATAAACAATCTGTAGACTTGGTAATTCTTTTCTTTGTTTTATTGTTCAAAAATCAGGTCTCTCTGAGAAATATGGAAAAAAAAATTGATTTTCTGATTAGATATATGACTCAATCAATTCAAATTAGTCTATAAAAAATAACATTTCTTAATTACGTAATTGAATGTATTTTTTCCGAATTTAAATTAACTTTTTCCGAATTTGAATTTACTTTTTCCGAAATTAACTTTACTTTTTCTGAAATTGATTTGACTTTTTCCGAAAATGACTTTATATTTTCCTAAATAAAAGCTACTTTTTCCGAAATTGAGGTTGAAATGGTGTAGATACGATTTATCGAAAAATTTTTATTCTGTAATCTTTAAATCATAGCTTCGACTAAACGATTTTTTATTCTGGTGATAAAATATCCATGGGCATGCTTCGACCTGTGAGAAGTCTCGTCAGCGCAACTAGGAACAACAAAAGGAAATTCAATTTCTGCGTCATTCCGGCTCTGCTGTTTTCCAAGAGAACTTGAATCCGGAACGTTGATGCCTTGAAACTTTCATGATATCCTTCCTCGAATTAACAATGAACTAAAATGTTAATACTATTTTTCTTCTAGAGACATCTATGGGTACAAAACTCGACCTACAAACCCAAGAAGGTAGAAATTACAAAAACGCAGTCCACGAAATTGGTAATGTGGTATACGAAAGAATCATAGCACCATGGCTGTGGTATCCTAGAATTTTCGATTTCTCGTCGCTTCGTAATGTGGAATATCGATCGTTGAAAGTATTACACAAGTTTACCGACAAGATTATAAGGAAAAGAAGTGAAAATTTTCAAACTTTTGATGAAGACTTCGAGAATAGCTATACTAAAAGAAAATATCCATTGTTAGATGTATTATTGAATGCTAAATTCAAAAATAATTCTATTGATGATAGGGGAATTAGAGAAGAAGTTGATACGTTTATGTTCGAGGTAGAATAAATTTTACTTTGATAATTAATAAGTTCAAATATGAATTAAAATTTTAGGGGCATGATACTACTGCTGCAAGCTTAAGCTTCACTACAATGCTTTTAGCAAACCATCCGGAAATACAGGTAATAAATTAAGGCATAATTTCAATAATTTATTCATACTTTCAGGAACAAGTGTATCAAGAAATTATCAATAATTTGGGAACATCCAGAGAACCAACTTATAATGATTTACAACAAATGCCGTTATTAGAAAGGTAAAAAAATCTTATCTCAACTAAATTTACAGAAAAATATTTTAGATGCATTAAGGAAAGTCTTCGGCTTTATCCATCAGTTCATGTTGTGGGAAGGACTAGCAGTGAAGAAATTACAACCAAATGTGGTATAATACCAAAAGGAGCTTTATTGGTAACTTTCATATACGACCTTCATAGAAATCCTAAATATTGGCCCGACCCTGATAAATTTGATCCATCAAGGCATTTACCAGAAAACTCAAGTGGCAGACATCCATTCGCTTATATACCTTTCAGCGCTGGACCCAGAAATTGTATAGGTACCTAATGATTTGTAACAAATGCAGTAGGGATGCCAAGGAGAATATTGAAAGCATGACTGGGCTTTTATTTTCTGTTTATCCAGGTTTTTTTTTTAAGTAAAATAATAACTCGCATCATAACCTAATGAATTTAGATATTTTTCACTTGGATTCTTCTTTGTAAAAATTATATGTGCTTATGTGCCTTTTTTTGCCGCGGTGATTTTACATAAATTATTATTGATATTTATTTTTAGGACAACGTTTTGCGATGTTAGAGATGAAAGCGTTTTTCTGCGGAGTACTAAGAAAATTCAAATTGGAACCAGTCGATACACCGGAAACAATAAAGCTAATTCAGCATTTAATTTTGAAATCCAAGGACGGAGTTAGAGTAAAGTTTGTTTCAAGAAATGAACAATAATTACATATTGAGATATCACGTAGTTCTAGTTAGAACTGAAATATTTTAATAATTGGTCTCTATGTATAATTGGTGAATGAAATATTTGATTAAATTTCCAAATTTACTAGATACATATTAGATATAGAAATAACTAGAAATGTATGTGATTATGTACTCTTTTTAGAATAATAAAGAAGGAATTTTTAGAAATCTTGCTTATATTGAAGATCCGCTGCTGACTGCATTCTTCCTGGTTTATCCCTCATTACCTATTCTTCTCTTTTTTTTTTTGCGAAATTTGTTTTTCTATTATCGATAGTGAATATTATGTCACCTACATGACAAACGTTTCCTGTCTTCCGATTTCCAATCTTTATTCGTTTCTATCTGCCCACTAATCTCCATCTAGGCCTCTGTTGCGAATTTCGTTTTCTTCTTCCGTCTGAGCTCTAGGATTTGTTTTGGTATCATTTCCGATTGGGCGAATTTCAAAAAAACTGAAACGACCCACAACTTCCGAAGAACTTTTTTAAAAATGAGCAGTGTATTCCCTTATTGAATCAAGAGCTCCATGTCGTTGGTCGTTGTCAACTTCATTGTTTCCGTTTAGCTAAAAGCAAGTTGGAAGACGCGGTTGGTCCAATACTTTTTCAACCTCAGGAAGTGTCAGCGATATCGAGAAGTGAATGGTTTTGATAGCATCGGAGGAATCTTCTTTTTGAAACTTTACGCGTTCCTCTGTTAGTAATTTTTTCAAGTGTTGATCCCATTCATGATCTGTTATCAGTAGTGATAACCCAAAGACATTGATAATTGTTCAAAAATTTTTTACAACATATTTCTAAAGCTCAATTTAAAAACTTGACGTCGGGATTCCGTTTTGGTCTGCGTATGCGTCCGCCTCGCTGGTTACCGTAGTCTCTTATGCTGACGGCGAACTGTGAGGTCGACCGCGAGTATAAATGATTTTATGGGATTTCTAATATTCAATTGGCTCGACGCAAACGCAAACGCAAACGGAATCTCGACGATGAGTTTATAAATTGGGCGTAAAGCTTGTTGCTTGGAAACAGATCGACGCCGTAGGTGTGTAGGCCAGGGGCCTTATTCTGTAAGAACGAACCGTTCGATTCGGTAGAATTTCTTCGATTGTGACGTCATTTTTGGTTTGGTTTTCGCGCTACCAAACCGAAAATGACGTCATAATCGAAGAAATTCTACCGAATCGAACGGTTTGTTTTTTACAGAATAAGGCCCCAGGCAGTGAAAACAACCCTAGGGCTATTCTCAGTAGTAATAACCCAAGGATATTGATAATTGTTAGAAAACATTTTACAGATTTCGAAAGCTTTCCTCTTATGATGTTAAGGCGGCATTACACGGCGTGTGGAGTGGCGCGTGAACTGGCACACCACACGCCGTGTGAAGGGTCTGGCGCGGCAAATTTCGCACCGTCTTGACTGTGACCACACTCCACACGCTGAGCTTGACAGTTCACATTCCACGCACCTGGCGTGCCACTCCACACGCCGTGTAATGCCGCCTTTAGCCGTACTCCTTCAAGTTATATTTCAGTCTTTTTGCAGAATTAAGCAGGGCATGTCCGAACCAAATCAGTTGTATGTCCCTTATATCATCTACTATTTTGTATCTTACATCCATAATTTACCTAATTCTCAGATTTGTTATTCTTTCCATTTTTGATCTGCCTGACGCTATCCTCCGAAAATCCATTCCAACTGCTTCCAGAATTTTTGCGGTTTTGTTCTTTAGGGGCCGGACCTCTAAACTATATGTGACTATGCTTTTGATCATGGTTTTTGTATATTCTAGTTTTGTTGATATTTTGGTCCCACAGGTTCTCTTGATAATGAATTCTATGACAATGCTGATTATTCCAATGATAGTGATGCTGCTAATGGCTAGGGAATGATGATGAATACTCCGCCATAATGTGCTATCCAACTCTACATTCAAATTCTTCTGGTCGTCTTCCAACTCTTTCGGGTTGTAAGTAAGCCTGAGAATTGACTCGAAGGGTGGATTCTGAGGGTGCTTAACTTTGACTGTCCTATTTATTACTATAGGGACTTTTTTGGAGTAGCTGCCCAGAACTGAAATGTTGGTGCTTCGTTTAGGAGTTAGAATAATCTGTTTTGTTTTGATGATGCACTCCTGAGATATTTGAATAATGCCTGTTGTATTTATTGCAACATCTTTCCGCATACCATCACAAATGACAGATATGGTTGTTGGAATCCGTAATGAACATCCATGTAACCATGAACCATGAACCGACAGAGCTCGAAAACTTTCCTAATCATCTAAACTCAACAGAACCCAGGATACAGTTTACGATGGAAATTGAGGACAAAAAAAATGCATTCCTCGAAGTCCTCTTAGGAAGATTATTGAGGAAAACCACCTATTTAAAATATTATTTCTTCAAATCCTAAATTAAAAAAAAAAGGTTTACTGTGCGCGGTGAAATTTTGGGGAGAACGAGGCCGCCACCGAAAGGGTAGACAGACAGAAAATGAGAGACCAGGGAAGAGGTTGTCTGCCATTGTTCAATATTCAATTTTTATTTTGTATTAAACTGATTCTTCAATCCAATTTGTGATTAGTTTGTGTGTCATAAGGAGCATTCACAGGTCAGTTGTGTGGTCATGTGCATTGTTCATGTATTTAACAAAAATCGTTTTGTGCTGTGAAAAACGTAGATAAAAAAAGTAAATTAAAACCTAGAAAAATTATGTACTGTCTTTTGTGCTGGTATTTTAATTTTTGGTATTCAGAGCGTGAATTAGGGCCTTGTTAAATCTACTACTAACACTTTCCTACCCTGACGAGCAGAATCCTAGCATACAAATTGAAAAATCAATCTCGAGATTGGCTCAAAATAACAACTATAGCTAAGTAGCCTCCCGTAACCAGGGACCTCAGTACCTGCTGGTGAAACTGGTTAACTAACCAAAAACTCTTCAGTATTGAATATAAGTAGTGTTCATTGAATGTAGTGTGTGGAATTAAAATTTTAGCACAAGGATAGTAGCGGTACCTAATTTAAATAATTGATTATTGACTCACAATTATTTATTAAAATGACACAGTATGTTTTGATTTTTGAGGAATGTTAGATCGAGGGTTTCTCTGCCCTGCTCTTTCCCCTCGTGAGTTCCAGGTCGAGAACGGTACGATTTTCTAATAATAAATTAGACGTTTTACAAATTTTTCGCTTATTTTACATATCACATTTTCCCTTAAATTTCCTTAATATGTCGGACGCATTTCAAGTAAGTAAAATTGAGTAAATATCGACAACGTAGGTCCTATTTGTTTTTTATCTCATTTTTTAGAAGATTTGTTAAAAGAAGAGATAATAAAAATCTTAACCGTTCAATCTTGCTGAACGAACCCGGGTATGTTATACTGCATTACCCTCAGGTAAACTGGGATTCAGAGCATATAGAAAGCCGACACATATGGACAGATACCTCAACAAGGAATCCAATCACAATCAGGCAAAAGAGAGGAGTCATTTAAACTCTGTCTGTGACAGGGCAATCCGGATTTGTGAACCCAGATACCTTCAGGACGAGATGCAACACCTAAAATCAGCACCTGAAGGAAATGCAGGTGGCAGGGAGAGCCTTTCTTCCCTACATAAAAAATTTCACAGATCGCATAGGCCAAACGCTAGAAAATCACAACATTAAGCCCATCTACAAGCCCACGAGAATAATTTAGCAGAGGATCCTAAGGCACTTTTTGAAATGGCTGGCGTCTATAGAATTCCCTGCTCTTGTGGATCTGTCTATGTATGAGCAACCAAACGCTCAAAGAGGATCAAAGAGCACAAAAGAAACTGTCAGCAGGGACAAATAGATAGATCAGCAATCGCCGAACAGGTGTTGACACAAACAAACTATGTCATCCGTTCCGACCAGACTCAAGCATTGGATAGAACCACACATTTTCACACCAGACTTTACAGAGAAGCCATAGAGATACAGAAACGCCCACAAACCTGCATATAAATAACGCAGGTCCAACAACGTCGAATCCAGTCAACGGAGGAACACGGAAGAGAACACTTCGTCCTCTATCACACCTTCTCTGAAGATGTCTATCGCAGCAGTAAACGAAACGTTAGGTAGAAATATTACTCGACCATGGCATTTTAGCCCGGAAAAAACTTTAATGCTAGAACGTCCATGTTTTGGGTACGCAACGCTCATTCATTACGATGTTTTGAATATTATGCATTTGAATATTGCAATGTCTTGGTTCTGGTCGTTCATAAATTGCGTCAATGTTGCATGACGAATTTGTCTCTATGTTTCTGACTGAAACTGGAGAGCGGATAAGTTGGTGATCATGTGACTGAATGCATTGCTACAAATCGCGTTCTTGGAGTTCAAAGTAGATCTACTTGAGTATTGTAATCAATCACAATGTATATCCATCTGAAATGTTCAGAGTCCAATAGGTACGATTGGCAGTATGGAAGGCTGTCTGGGTTCTAGTGTTTCTAGTTATTGGCGTTAGATCACTTCTTGCTGAGTAGTTTGCAATTTTTGAAGCTGTGAGGTTTTCGTCTTTTTCTGTTGGAAGTGGAATTAATTTATGAATCAGCCTTTCTGTCATGGTGCCTCTTGCTTTCTTTATTGTAACTACTCGAACTGCACCATCATTTCCTCGGTGGGTTTCACGATTCGCGTCAGCGGCCATTGATTCGAATTCACGTTTTCTTCTTTCAGTAGGACCATGGTGCCTACTCGTAACTTTGGCTTTGAGTATCCCAATGATTCTGGAGATATTTTGAATGGAATGCGAACTGTAAATCTACCATTCCTGTCTCTGTTTGTCGTTTGATCGTAAAATTCTTCACAAGCTTGCTCTTCTTCCGTAAATTGATGAGTTGGAGTAACTTCTTATCGATCTCCCAGAATTTCATCAACAGTTTGTCTTCTTCATATTGAGCGATCATGCTGACGACTTCAATGCTCTAGGACGTTGAAAATTCTGGTCCAGATATAATCCTTCCTAGCTCGGTATTTTGTTTCAAGAGACCGTCTTGAGTTTTCCGAGGATTATTCAAAATTTTTGTGGCATAGTCTTTTGCTCCGAGAATCCCATCTTCAGATCCAGGTTTCATAAACGTAGGATCTGCTAGAACTTCATCTTTTTCATGTATTGATGCTTTTTATGTGTAGAGGTTGCCTTGGCATGGACTGGGTTAACCTTGAAAGAACTATCATGCCTACCTCCATTTAGAATGTACTTTTGAATTGTGGTGTAATATAGGTACTTATTGACCATTTTATCTTGGGCTCTCCATCTTCCACGCCAGATATCTCAGCTCTAATATGACGTTGTGGAAGCCCTAAGCGTTGTGCTGCATCTTTGGTGATGAAAAATGATTGTGATCCTTGGTCAATCAAGATTCTCAAAGGCTGTGGCAAACTTTGAGTTTGGACTTGTACGAGGGCTATTGCTAGTATTACATTTTCTTCATCTTGACTTGCATGATTTGTCGTAGTGTTTCGTTGCTGTTGGAATTGCTCGCCTGTTCTTCTTTGTTACGTATTCTGTGAGGTTCTATTTTGACTATTGCCATTCGAAGCGAAATTTCTTTGTTGTTAATCGTTTGTTCGTTGCTGATTTTGTTGATTTGGGTCAACAAACAAAAGTGTGTGATGTTGACGGGAACAAATATTACATTTTGTTTGGCTGTGGTAGGTCATATCGGGTCTTCAAAAAAAGAAAAAAAAAGAATCAAAGACTACTCTAATTACTAATACGTACGTCGCATTATTGTTTGTTTATTGGTCAGAATTTTTGACATGACATTTTGACATTAACGTTCATTGAAAAAATTAAAGAAAAATATTGCTAAGACATACGTTTAAAAAACCATAGCAATCTTTGATTGGTTATTTTTTATGAAGAACGGATATGATTTTGATCGTGACATAGTACAACCGCTTTGACTCACTGGATTTGTTTTCTGTAGTTCAGACTGTTTCTAATGATTTAAATCTCCTTTCTAAGGAATTCATGAATTCTTTGAAATCTGGTACGTCATGTGGTTCTTGAAGACTCTGTACATAAAGGCGATTGGTCTGAGAGTCCCACCTCCGGATGATTATGCGAATCACCATTGGCCCCCATGGATTACTCTATCTCAAGGTTCTTCAAGGCTTGCAGGCACTCGCTAGTGACGTCGTATAATTGTTTCAGCTTCATTGCATTTTCTTCCGGAATGGTTGGCAAGTCCAATAATTTATCCAAAAGCTTGAAGATGAGTAGTCTGTAGTTTGTTTTTAAATCGTTTCTGTAAAAGTTCCCATGCTAAATCGTAATTAACTTTGATTGCTTCTAGATGTTAGATCAGTTTGCTTGCTTCTCCTCACGTGCGTTTCTAAGTACGGCATTTTTTCGGCTTTGGTCAGCACCTGACTCTCATGGATTACTTTTCTGAAAAGATCGTAAAGTGGGACCCATTCTCGTATCCTCCATCGAAAGATGGAATCGGAATCTTTGCTAGATGTTGATGCTGTTGATTTATCATTACTTGAGGAACTGGAGTAAGTGCGTCTTCTTGTATTTTGATTGTTAGATTTTCAGTTATATCTTTGTACTGCTGCTGCATTTCATTATATGGATTTTAAGTGGAATATTCATTCTGAAATATATCTTCAGATATCATTATTTCTTCATGTAGGTCTTGGATGGCGCTCTATTGTTTTTTAATTTTTTCCAGCTGTAGGTGGAAGCGAGACTTCGACTTCTCTTTGATTAACTCGAATTCGATTTGGTGTTTAAATCTCCCTCTAGCTGTTGCAGTTTAATGTTCTGTTTTTTTAAACGTTGATCTTGAATGGTGGTTGTTGAAGTATCACCAGAAGGTGGTTTAGTGGCTGTAGCTTTTGTACAGTTTTTTAAGTTGTTCTTTGCATCTTCATATTTATCCTTCAACTATTGAAAGTAGTTCTTGCTGAAGTAAGTGTGGTCTGGAATTCTACTTTTCCTGATTTCTTCATTTTTATTTTTTTTTTAATATTTTCTCTAGTGTATCAGTGCCTTCGTCAATGTATGTTTCTTGGCATTGCTGAAAAACTGGATGATTTGCATTCCCAAATTATGTTGCTCATTGGCTTCTTGATTGAGTATTTTTTCCACTGACATAACTGACGTGACTGGTAGCTCTAAAGTGTGGATGAACTTTTTCACTGAACGAACAGGCGGACGGATTCTGTTTGGATAAATATGTGGACGAACTGTGGTGTCGACTGACGGAGGTTTGGCCTGACGGACGGATAGCTCATCTGCCTGTTAGCTTGCCTGTCGCCTGGTAAAAATTTCTTCGCTCGAAGGACCAATGTTCAGGCTGTGTGCCTGAAGATTACACTTGCTTAACTACGGCATGAGTTAAACAGCGGGACGGTAAGGATTTTGTAGTATATTTACAGTCAGAGAGCAGCCTCACTCTCTGCTATGGCCAAGGAGGCTTGAGCATAGTAACTTGTAGAAGTATTGAGAGACACCGTAAACTGACTGTCTTATTCAGTTTGATTCATGGTCTTGTTAAGAGATCGAAATTATCATTACGTCATATTTTGATATAACTATAATACACACGTATATTATTTTATTTTCTACTTTACCATTATAGATCCATACTACCTAGGAAACGAAATACGTCAACACACCTATAACGCCCGCTTTTGCGGGCGTTATGATCTATAACGCCCGCTTATAATACCCTAAGGTGTTTTTGTTGTTGTTTTTCTATTAATTTGCACTTTAGCCTAGACAGCCACTAAATGTCTGACCGAAAATAATTTTCGGTCTAGCCAGGATTCGAACCCGGTCTACCATCAACGTTTCCCATGTAGTCCAGCGCGTTAACCCACAGGACCACCACCGTTGCCTTGCCTTATGAGATTTTTATAGATATATTAATTTATCCCATTTTGACGTTTAAAAATGACATTATCGAACGCATAACAGTAAAGGTAAGTAGACGTTTATCACCTCAGTGACTTAAAAACATTTTAACTCACTCTCGGCATTTTAAGTCACTCTGCCCAACTAAAAATCTAAAGCCTCAGTGATTTAAAATATTTTTAACTCACTCCCGGCAATTTTCCTTGTACTAATTTTCTTGAATTTCCACAAAATGGGATAAAATTTTGTTACATCACGTGAGTTAAAATGTTTATTCATTCGGAGAAAATTAACCCACTCGCTAAGGCTCGTGGGTTCAAATTTCTTCTCATGAATAAATATTCATTTAACTCACTTCGTGTATAAATAACTATTATTTCGTTTCTAGGCACAGGTCGCAGGTCACAGGTACAGGTACATGTCAAAATACAAAACAATATTCTGTCACTCAAGTTTAACTGATTTTGTTAATAATAAATTGATGAAAAAACATTGTGTTGAGTAGAAAATAAAGCATTGTATGCACCACGGGGATTTTAAGATTATAATGCCCTTCAGGCGAAATATATCCCTCGGGTCATAGGCCCTCGGGCTAGTTTCGCCTTCGGGCATTATAATCTACATAATCCCCTTGGTACATAAATAGCTATTATATTCCTGAAAATATTGTATGCTTATAATCTAGTTTTCTTGTTTAATATTATCTTATATTATCATAAACTTGACCTAAATTAGATTTTTAAAGATTGAATTTTAAGGGTTACCAAGTCAGACAAAATTGCGCTGCAGCCGCCTCGTATAAGTAGGGGCTTTTAATTTTCAAACTCGAAATGCCGCAGAAAACAATAGCTCATCTCTCAAGGCTGCTGTTAATCTTTCCTGTGTTTTTGTTTTTTTTTTTTTTTTTGTTTCAAAGATTAATGGAGGCGTCTCATGCTGTTTATAGTCACGCGTAAAATAGGAGAAATCTTGCTTTTTATCTTTCAGTTTATCTTTTTGATTACAATAGTTTGCTACGCCAAAATAGAGTCAGGTATATATTAGGCCATAACACAACTGTTGAAATAACGGCAGGAGAGCGGATACAGCATAGACTTGATTACTTCACACCAAATTGAGCGTTAATAATCAACTAGTCAGATTACAGTGTGCATTTAGTTGATTAAGGACAACGCTCGTGATTATGACTGAAAAATTTCTGTACCACATTTTACATATTGATGAAAATATTCATTCATTGGAAACATATTTTGTATGATAAGTTATTTATTTATTCCTCAATATAAATTTAACTTTAATTCCATTGGCTGGCCTTAATATCATATCTTGTATCAACTGGATTGTTTCAGGTGTATCCACTGGTTCCAATACAAATTTTCTCAGTAGACCTGAGAAAAATGATTTAATTTCCAACATGGCAAAGCGTTGTCCTAAAATCAATGAAAAGATAAATACACTTAGTAAAAAGACCATTAAATCAAAATATTTATTGAAATAAATATTATGTCGGGACGATTTTTAGTAGCTCTTTCACTATAAAATCTTACCTATACAATTTCTGGGTCCAGCACTAAAAGGAACAAAAGCAAATGGATGTCTGTCACGGCAATTTTCTGGTAAGTGTCTAGATGGATCAAATTTATCTGGATCCGACCAATATTTTGGATTTCGATGAAGATCGTACAAATACGTAAATACTTGAGTCTCTTTGGGTATTATCCCGTAATCGGTAGGTATTTCTTCACTGGTTGTTCTGCCTATTAATGGAACTGGTGGGTAAAGACGAAGACCTTCTTTAATACATCTGTTATAAAAAATATTATAAGCATTGTATTATTTTCGGAGTATTCAATATTGTACCTTTCCAATAAATCCATTTGTTGCAGATCGGCGTATGAAGGTTCCTTTGATAAATCGGTTCCCAAATAGCTTATGATTTCATGATAGACTTTTTCCTAGAATCAGATTATAATTGCTTGAAAACTGTTTATTTCTTCCTTACAAACCTGTATATCTTTGTGGCAAGCCAAAAGCATGGTTGTAAAATTCAAGCAAATTGATGTAGTGTCATGTCCCTGAAAAAAAAACTTTAAATTATCATTTAAACTTTATTGTGCTTGTACTACCATACCTCAAACATAAAAGTATCAACTTCTTCCCTAATCCCTATATCGTCAATAGAATTATATTTAAATTTAGCATTCAGTAAAACATCTAATAAAGGATGCTTCCTTTTTGTGAACGTTTCGCCGAATTGTTCGTCGAAAATTTTAAAATTTTCACTTCTTCTTTGAATAATTTTGTTTGTAAAATTATGCAACACTTTCAGGGATGTCTTTTCCACTTTTCGCAGAGAAGTGAGATTGAATATTTTCGGATACCATAACCATGGAGTTATGATTCTTTGGAATATTATGGATCCTATTTGGTATATTGCATTTTTGTATTTCATACCTTCTTCGGTTTTTAGGTCTAGTTTAGTGCCCATTGAAGTTTCTGGAAAAAAAAATTGTAAGAAAACCAGGTAGTTGGATACTTCTTCGCAGCGATCGGGAGTCTTTTAAAATTTGTGAGGTGAGAGTCACGTGAAAAAATAGAAAAGTAGGTACCTACTGTTTGTCTCACGAGGGTTTGTACATTTGCCTTCCTTTTTTAACAAATAAAAATTTACTGAAATAAATTAATGACGTCAAAACCGTTCGTCCGTTTTTAAACCAGAAGTCATTCAATACAAAGCAAAATCTGGACGCTACTGAATTTATATGAAGCAATTTACGACAAACCTTCTTTTCTAAGTTATGACATTATCGATGAAAAAAGTACAAACCTTCGTGGAATGAACTTCAGGTCAGAGTGCGCTTTTGAAAATGATGAATAGAGCTGCTTCTATTTTATCGAAAAATATTGGCCGCGTTCACCAGATACAAACGTTGGTAAACGGTTTGCGATTGTTCTGCTGAACGCTACGTTGAATTTGTGTTGAAACCAAACATGTTTTGCAAACGGTCGCCATTTTTGCAAGCTTAATTTGAGAGTATTTATAATTTTCAGCACTGTGTTTTGTGTGGTGACCTGTCATTCAGAGGGTGACGTTCTATCATTGAAAAGTTGAATCGTTCAGCAGAACCAAGAGTTTACCCAAGATATTCTGTTGGTATTTGTAAACTGTTTACAATCCGTTTTGATTCTGGTGAACGTAGCCATTGTCTTGAGCCATCTTCAGTGCTATTTCTAGGTAGCTACAGTATAAGTAACTGGTAGGTATTTTTCCCAAAGAAAAGTTCTATAATGAAATGATAATTATGTTCAGGGAGACTGTTGATAAAGTCTATGCACCGAGAGTTTACCCCTAAGTCATAAAATCCGGCATGGCTATAAATCATGCGAAATATAAAGAGAGGACGGGTTCTACCTGAAATTCTCAAAATGTTTTGTGGTCAAGAAGTTTTGTGAAGAAATAAAAGTTACTTGAAAATATAATTTTGTCAAGTAGTATTTTTTTATACAGTAAATTTTAAATAGGCAACTACTCTATAGACATTGATTTCCGACGTAGGTAACTCAAAAACTTTAAAATTAGATTGAAAAAGGACTTTATAGAACTAAATGTAAATTCGTTCACTTGGTCTTGTACTAATTTGTCAGCCCTGTGTTTTACAGCTTATGGGTAACCTCTGGATGCACAGACTATAGTATTAAGGTATGTTATACTAAATGAGTCGACCACATAAAATTCGAATTTTTCGTTTTCATCTGCAAAACATCTTTGTGGACTGTCGAAATTCATAAGGATGGTAAACTTTATAGACCAATAAATTACATCGACTTAACAATAACCTTGTATATCGATGATTTACATATAGAATAATGAAAATGTGATTTCAAAATGATTTATTAAGTTAATTTTATTATGATAATATGAAGAAGGGTATCTTACCACTCATTGTCAAGAGGGTAAAGTTGGATATAAGAGGTACAATATCAACAGGTTTATCCAAATATTTTTCTTGAATCTCTTTGAGAAAACTTTTCGTCTCTCTATTAAAAATATCCACAAATTCGAGGAGAATCGAAAAATGAAAAGCCGGCGTTAAAATCTTTCTTCTCGTTTGCCATTTACTACCTGAAAAAAAAATGCAAATGTTTACGTAACAATCAAAATTCAAATTATTACAAAACCTGTGCTAGTTAATAATCCTCGCTCTAACCAACTGTGCAAAAACGAATATGCAAAACTTTTTTCTAAATTCTTCATTTTTCCAATAACAGCCTGAAAAATTTAATGGGTATTGTTAAATTTGGCAGTAGTAAGTTAAGTTTTAGGGACTGGAATAGCTGAATTTTGTTAGATATACTTTTCTGATTCAAGCAAGATGAAGGAATGTAAATTATATTATGTGATACCACATCTTGTTGCTAAATTAATAAATAAAAAACATATTTTTCGTCTATGATATGCCTAGTAACGTGCCTCAAGTTCTTTAGCTCCTGAAACGCCAACATTAACAAGAGTGGGGCCCAGGAAAACTTTATAAATTGGTGGAGAAGTTCCCAACCATTCTCTGGTGATAAGCCACGCTTCCACTAATAACATACAATAAAACTAAGATAATTATATTCACATTTTACCCGATCTTTTTTTTACCTGGTGATAGACCGAGGACTTTTCCAGCATGTCCAATAAGAAATTGTTTTCCTGTACAATCCGGTAATCGCCTTAGTAAAATCCAATAGCGAATATACTCTTTCACGGATGTTAAATTTGTAAAAATAATTATTAAGAATAGGGCAATTACTACTGCACTACTTATTGCGAAAAACATCTTATCTTCACTTTATCCAATATGTTACTAATTTGATATATTTATATGCTGGATAAGCGGTGAAAAATACATTTAAGCAACAAAGCCTGAGCGATAACCTTAAATCAAACAGTTAGAGTGTACTTGTGAAGGTCATCAAACAATAATATTATTATACCTAATAATAATATTTTTCAGTTGAGGAAAACCTAATTACAAACTTATCTGAAAAATGGTGATGGATATTCCTCGTAAGTAGTAATATCCAATACTAGGTACACTGGTTTTTGATTCGTATCCGAAACTTCATTGTAATACCTTTATATGCTGATTTTCTGGGCTTAACAACTTGCTCACTTGGTTTGTCTTGAGAATGCAAACTCTATGCTTCAAAGGTTGAGATTTTTGGCAATGTTCCGTTTCCACTTCCAAGAACAAATACTTATACCTACCTGAATAGCTTTTGTACCATTTCGACTGGGTTATGGAAAAAAATATTTATTCATTATACGTGAAGCAAAAAGTTTTTCTTCATCTCCTGGGTAGGTATGGAGCAAAGGCAAATTTATGCTTAACACTATCAAATAATATGCACACGATATTCAGCCACATATCAAGCCGTAGCTGTTTTGCGGTAAATTCAGTTTTCCGGTCGGATGATCATGGTCTATAGTTTCGTTCTACTGGATAACCGATGCACATAGATAAATTGCTGGACGTACAAACGCTATCATGAATTTCATAATATTGAGGTGTAATTTTTAAAGCCTAGTAAGCAATTTGAAATGTTCAATGAAAAATATTTTCAGGAATTTTAAAACTGCTCTAGTGCGAACCTAGAGTTAGTTTTTATTCCTTAAAGGATTGGAGCAATCGGGCCGGAGTATGACAGATGGATGAAAGTCCCTGATGATGCATTTTCCTTGGCCGCTGGTTAGATTTCAATAATTGCTTTCTTCTTTCTTGAAATTATACTTATTCTTGCGAATCAATCCTGAGCAACAACATAGCCCTCCTGAAATTATAAAGTTTGTAGTATATAGTTCATGAAAAACGTACTAAAAAAGGGGTGTTGCCTTGCATGAAATGAGGTATTTCTGATTTTTTGACATATGTTGTATCTGATGAAGTGGTTTATCTCTTATTATTTCCCATGCAAAATATGCAAAAGATATAACTTGATGACTCGATGGGATGGGATCAATTTCTGAAAACGCCTTTCAATTTTTATTTGTTTGGTATCCTGTCATTCCTATCTGTCATTAGTATCATTGGGTCTGTTTCTGCAGAAATCACAAACCAGTAAGAGCGAATTTCATTGGTTGAAAACAGTCAGAAACAGTCAGAAAACTAGTTTCAACCAATAAAATTCACTCTGACTGACTGGCTTGTGATTCCTGCAGAAACAGACCTATTATATTACATTACAGAATGTGCCCGTAAAGTAACAGATAAATTCATTTATAATTCATATCATATTTTTTTTTATGGAAAAACGCTCGGACACGTCAATCTTATGTTTTAGTGACGCTGTTTTTAAACTAATTTGTTTTTATACAAGGTGACTCAAAAAAGAGATATCACATGACACTTCAATTTTTTGAATAAAATGCCCTGTATATTTTGAACAATAGTGCGAGAACTTATCTCGATGGCGCTCTATCGGTATTCATCAAAATATAAAGGGCATTTTATTTAAAAAATTGAAGTGTCATGTGATATCTCTTTTTTGAGTCACCTTGTATAAAAACAAATAAGTTCAAAAACAGCGCCACTAAAAATTTAGAATCACGTGTCCAAGCGTTTTTCCGAACAATATATGCCTAAATTTTAAATGAATTTATTCGTTACTTTACAGACACAGAGACGTCGTATGTTACTAAACATAACGTCTTTCAGACGTCTATCTAAAACATGACGTAATGTCTGCCCAGCGACTCTGTGTCTACGGGGCAACGGTGAGGGAAATGCAGTTGTAAACCAGCTGCGTGCGGAACTTTTTGGAAATGTTATCGTATTGCAACTTCTAAACGAAAATTAACAATGACCAAACCTCCGCCACTGGATATTCCAATATAAATCGATATTCCAAGATGGCAGGATAAAATGACGTAAGCCCTGGCCAATAGCGAGACGTAAGGTGACGTTAGCTCATTGACAACCAAATGGTTCCCCATGGCAATGGCGATCTTGCCAAAAACTCCACAAATCAGGTTCATCCAGGCCGGATGCTTGCCAAATAGTCAAAAGCTGATGGTATCTTTAGAAAATGTTTATTTTTAAAAATAGACCAAATTGAAGAAATCAGGATTAAAATAAAAATAGATCTAACAACCACGTTAAAATATTTAGCGTTTTATTATTGTTATCAATATTTTGTTATTAAAAAATGAATTTTCAAATGAACTATACCTCATGCCTAGTATTTTCGCTTTTTTATAATTAAACGTGGCAACATGGCACATTTACGTCCGAATTCCTTCCGTAGACTCAGATCCGCTGGGCAAACAATATGTAAACGTGTAATTGATTACTAATTATTTTATTTCATAATTGATTGATATTGATTTGTGAATGTGTTGTGACCGTCCTTTAGCATCCTATTTTTGCCTTAACCTAGTCACAGCGCCGATTCAAGGCTCTGCCGGTCCCTAGGCGGCAGAAGGTATGGGGCCTTAGCCCAAAGTATAACTATTTACTGTTTTTGTCCAAATTGAAAAAAAAAGCCTTTCAAAATGCTTCTGGAAAGTGTTTTGGAACGTTCTAAATGGCTTTTTGCAGTTCTAAAGTGTTCTAACTTGGCTTGAAGAGTTCTGGAGCATTCTAGAAGTTTTTCAGTAATTTCTAAATTGTTCTGACAGATTTTTGAGTATTTTAGAGCCCTATTGAAGCTCCAAAAAGTTCTAAATTGGTTTAAAAAAGTTTTAAAAGGTTTCCAGTTCTAAATTAGGATTAAATTTAGAACTTTGAAATTGTTCTAAAATAACTCAGAAGTTTCTCAATTGCTCCAAAATGCTCCTGAAAATTCTGATTTAGATTTGAACTGTTTTAAATGCCTTTAAAGAGTTCTAAAGTTCTACGCAATCAAAATTTGCTCTAAAAATCCTTCTGAAAGGCGTTTTGTAATTTTTAATCTGAATCCTAAGATTCTGGCGCTTTTCAAAATATTTCTGGGGATTCCAGAGCGTCTGAGTTTGAGTGTTTTGGAGCGTCCTTAAAAGGAGTTTTAACCTTATGAGTTGTTCTGACATGCTTTTGAAAATCGGTGTTTGAATGTTTTGGGGCATTTTAAAATGGTTCTGAAATTTCCAAAATTTTCTAAAGCGCTACAGAATGCTTTTGGAAATCCTGAATTTAATTTTAAATGTTTTGAACTTTCCAAAAGGTCTATTAAAGTTCTTAAGTGTTCTGTAGCATTTTAAATGGTTTCCAGTAACTTCTAAATTAAATGAGAAACGAATTCTGTGGGAAATTTTTCCCAAAGACGTCCCTAAGATGTCCATAAATGACATTCAAGACGTCTTAGCTACGTCTCAAAGGCATCTTGAAGACGACGTAATGTAACAAAGCCCAATGTCTTCCAGAGATGTCTTCAGCACTAGGACATTCTACTTCAAATCTTCAAAGAGATGTCTCAAAGACGTTTTTGAATCTCTTTTCAATACATAAATCAATATTCACTTTTAGGCTTGAAGAAGAAAAAGATATGAATTCACGACATTTTATATGAACATCTTCAAAACAACGTCTTCTAGGCGTCTTTTTTTGATCTTCAGACGTTCAGACGTGTAATACTAATACAGATCCTAGAAAAGACGTCTTCAAGACTTTGTGTGCTGTCTGGGTAGTGGAACATCTCGTATCTATTATCTATTACTCGTTTAACGGATGTTCATCAGCAACACGACATAAGGTTGGATGGACTCTACCTGAGTTGGGAATCCCACAATTCCCACAGCTACAGAACAGTGTTGCCGATAGTGTGTGTAATTCGGGTGGTGTCTCAGGGTGCAAGGTTGCCAAAATAAGATATTTGATTTCAGAGTGAATTTCGGGCCCCATTGAGCGCCCGGGCCCTAGGCGGCTGCCTAGTCCGCCTAATGCTTAAACCGGCGCTGCCTAGTCATGGCCCCAAAGCCCCCAAAATCATTTATTTGGAAAAGTTTTCACAAAATATCTAAAGAACAGGCTAGATGCAACATGTGTTCATGAATTTTGAAAACGTTTGGAATACAACTTTAAAATCTCATCTGGTGCAAAAACATAATTATGCCTATACACAGTATTGTGCAGTTCCCGATATTGAAATGGCCAAAGAGGAAACCAAAACAACAGGCAAAAAACCAGATGTCTTCGTTTGCTAAGGGAAAGTACTCTGAGATGGCATGGTTTTTGAAAATGGTTTATAAAAATTCAAATTTTTCTAGATGAGAAAAACCAAAAATTTGTGCAAACAATGGGACTTATTTTTAACACAAAAATGTTCACAACTACTGATTAAGATGTTTATTAACCTTAAAAAAAAAAAAAAAAAAAACGTATACTCTTACAAAAACCATCTCACCCAACCCCTATGGGTGAGATGGCATACACCTTAAAACTAATGAATTTTATTTGCAAATATCGCAAATTATATTTTTTGCGCTTCTAGGTAGACCAATACACTCTGCGTGGCACCATTTTTTGCACATTTGGCAACGTAGCCACTATTCCTTACTTCATGACCTACTGTATGGTACAAGGCAATAAATGCAGGCTGGTTCTTCTTCCTCTTCTGATCCAGAATACTCCGGTTCTTCTTTTTCACTCCCAGAAGACGAAGGCAGGCGGACTTTTCTCTTGGCCGAGCGAGCAGATTTTCTTGAAACTGGAGCTTTCTTAATAGCCACTTCTAACTTCAGTTCTTCAATGTCTGGCGTAGTATTGAGAACTCCGAATTTTCCCTTCTTCCGATTTGATCTGATTGTAACAGTTGCCTTCGACAATGGCGAAAATTCGGATATGCTTAGGTCCTTTGAAGA